GGACAAGTTGGGCATACAGGTATTTACAGCAAATGGCATCCCGTCCGTCGTCACGTGAGTTCACACATTGGTACTCCCGTTCCTTGCCGACTGCAAACCCAATGCGATGTCGGATCGCTTGATGTCTACATGATACCTGGCTGTCGACTTGGCTGCATCTTCAACACATTGCCGTAAGGATCAGTGTGACAACCTTCTGAGGGGGAGAGCCGGAGCTACATGCAGCATCGGGATGTGTGATCAATCACCCCAAACCTCCCTACCTTGCCCTTACGTGAAGGCGCGATGGCATGAGTTTAGGCCTAAACGCTGGGTGGTTTGGCCGCCCTAGACTACATGGGGTGGGAAAGACGAAAGGAAAAAGACACTCGATGCACAGGCTTTCGCAGCTCGTGGCCATAGTGCGATGCGCTCGACACAACCTTGTCGCAAGTCCCTATCGCCTAAGCGCTGTTCCAGGGCAAACCCTAAACCCTAAATTCCAAACCCGAAACCCTAAACTCCAAACCCTAAACCCTAGTTCTGTGCAAGGGTCCTCGGCACAAAGCTCGGAGCTGCGAAGCGACTCCTTCGCCTCACAGCAGACAAGACTCCAGGGTGGGTTCATGAAGGGCACAGGGTTAGGGCTTAGGGTTTAGGGCTTAGGGTTTGGGGTTAGGGTTTTGGAGCTGTTGGACTCCTACGAGGTTCCCAAAAAGGGTTTCGAAAGGATTTCTGCACGGGTCTTTATAAGATCTGAGATACCTGACATCTGCATGAGGATCCCCGGTATGCTTGAAGAATGTGGACTCGCTGGGAAATGGTGATCTCTTCAAGTCGCTCCTCCTCGTCTACTTATTGCCCACACAAATTTCGGCACCTGCCTGGTCCCTGTAGAAATTATCGTCGTGCATTAAAGCTTATTATGGTACATTGCAGTAAATTCCAATCTTTTGTCGTATATTATACTTCACTGCAGGGGTGAACGAGCAAGCCCAGGGGCGCGAAATCACAACGGCCGTCTTTGAAGTCCAAACTCGGCTTAGGGTTTGAGGTTTTAGGGTTTTGGGTTTTTCCGTATCCATTTTGGCTCAAGGCGTCGCGGCTCGAGGCGAGTGAAGGTGGTCTCAACTCTCGGTGTGCGACCCCAGGCTTTGCTTTGCCATAGCCGCCGTCCACGGCTCAGGAGCCTGGACCGCAGCCATATTGGTTGCTTGACGCTCTGCCAGTTGATCTGCGTAGCGCCTATTGCTTCACTCAGCAGCAGGTTGCCATTAAGCTTTTTGTGTGGGCTGGCCACCCTTTAAACTCTTACGTCTTCCTGCTGTTCGCTGCTTTGTGCCGACCGGCCGGGGGTGAGTTTCACGAGACTCTGTGGACTTGTTCTGCGCTGCTACAAGACTCTCAATGCTGGTCATTGTCGATGAGAGCCCTACATTCCGTTTTCACCGACTGCATGCAAAGCAGGTGTGAGCACACTCTCTGTGGCACTCCTGTTGTGGGCGAAGGGAGGCTCCTCTGCTCGAAATGGTTCCTTCCTTCCTTCCTTCCGTTTTCACTGACTGCATGGCGAACAACTGTGAGCACGACTTGTGTGGTGCTTCTGTTTGTGGCGAAGGAAGCCTCCGCTGCTGCATCCGTGAGTTACTCAGTGGGCCTTTCCTTCCGTTTTCACTGGCTGCATGGGAGACACTGTGAGCACTTTCTGTGACACAAGTTGGCGAAGGGAGGCTCCTTTGTTCAGGGGGTCCCTCCTTCGGTTTCACTGACTGCAAGCACGCTTTCCTGCGTGTTTCCCTCTATCGGGGCCCGCACAGCGTAGAGCTCTTTTCCAGACAGTGGTGTTGCCGGTCTTTGCCTCGTGCTGTTAAGGGCGACCGCTGTCTCGGTTTTGCTGTTCGCTGCTCTGCCTGCCTGAGCTCCCTCCTTTCGATGAGGTCGAGTTCGGGGAGGCCTTTTGTTTCACCTTGCATCGTGGGGCTGTTGCGCGATAGCAGCGCAAAACTTTTGAGCCTTTCTTCTTAGTCGCTCAAGACCGTCGGACCTTCATGCGAGTCGCTCAGTCATTTCGGGGTTTGGGGCCCGCCCTTCAACCCTAAGCCTAAACCTTAAAGTCTTCGAACCGGCGAGGCTGGTCGAGCCTTGCTAGCCTGCTCATTCAGCCGCCGTAGGCGCAGGCGCAGAGCCTGGCCACGGCGTTGAGCGGAGACCCAAGCTCCAAACTCCCAAAGACGTGACGTAAGGCCCAGACCCGAAACGCCCTCAAAAGCCCAGAAAGCCTCGAAATCCCGAAGACGCCCTGAACCCCCAACCTTAAACAAACCCAAACGGCCCTGCTCCCGAATGTCCCAAAGCCTTGCAGAACCCATCGTGCGGACTCTTCTAGGAACCCTTGCCAATTACCGAACCATCGTCCGGGCCTGTATCAACGCCTGCTCTTCACTCCGATAAGACCTGGGAGCAGTGGTGTCTGTTACAGAGGGTTTTGCGGCATATTGTGCCAAAACTATACTCGAAACCATAAGGGAAAACACACTGCTACTGATTCCAACCCCTATACTACTGTCTGCGTGTCGGAGCCATTGCGCTGCGTTGCTCTGTTTGCCTCCGGGTTGGAGCCATGCGGTGGGATCTGAACCCTAAACCCTTCGAAACTCTCAACCCTGAACCCTAAATCCTCAATTCTTCTAACAGGAGCAAGCATCAGTCTGAGTCTCTGAGAGAATTGAGCTCGCGACATGTCTCAAATTTCGGGACGGGCACTAACTCTAGATGCACGGAAGCACCTTTGTCTTCAGAGTTCTGGAAAAAGGCCCGGGCTCACACATTCGAGCCCAGACGGTGCCATTCTTCGGCGCTATGGCTGAGTGCAGTCGAAACCTCGCAAAGCGACAGCGATCCGAGTCAGTAGCTTACAAACTTACAACCCGTCTCGACCGACAGCAACTTATATGCTCTTAAGACATCCCTAAACCCTCAACCCAAACCCTAAACCCTACAAACCCTAAACCCCAAAACCCAAACCCTAAACCCTAAACCCTGAACCCTGAAGGGGTCTTTGAGGATCCTTTTTGGCGGCTCCTACATCTTCCCACTTTGAGAGCCAAGGAGAAAACGGGCTGAGCGAACGGCACTTGAGCTGCACTGAGAATTTAACATCACATAACAGAATATAGGACAATATAAAAACGTATTGTATAGTATATAGTATCATGTCTTATGATATTTGGCATCAAGTAATTTAGCACAATGTAAGATAATCTAATACAATGTAATACTAAGAAAACCATACAGTACCGTATACTATAACATAGTACAGTATAGTAGAATGTAACAAGACCTTCCCCACTGCGATTTTTGCTTCTGGCACACGTGGGCTTGCAAGAACTCTTTCTGCGGCTCCTGCCATTTGGCATAAAGCTCACTTTGGTGTCTTCGACAGCTGCATGCATCTTCTGTCTGGTGCTTAGTAGGG